CCACATACTGTACATTATTGTTTCTCCTCTATGCCCCACCTTTCTGAAACACGTCGATTTTTACAAAGCTCATCGGTCTGAAAAGCGAGGTGTGCTCTGATTGGCCAGCTATCCAGTGCGTTGTGATTGACCGAATACCTCAAGCGTGTGACGGAAATGTTACGCCCCTCACCATACTGTGATGCTGTGTCCCGGCGCGACGAGACAAAACCAATAAAACCCATTACAAACTAGGTATTTGTTGCATCCAGTGGGGACATAATTATTGATTATAATGACTTATACTGTGTTTTTACTCGTTGCGTATCGCGCCGCATAAACATAAAACCATGTCTGCATTTGTGATCGGAGAAATGACAAACAACAAGCACTACTCTACACTGCTCAAAACTCGTGTTTGAATCATCAGTGGCAAATCCTTTAAATATGAAAACGTACTTACAGTCTGTGAGTCAGAACACCGGCATTGTAGTCTACTCTCCCAGGATCAGGAAACAGTCCTCCGTAAAATGCACTGCACACATCTGAATATTTGGGTTGAACTGTTCTGGAACAGTGTTGTAAATACAACTTAACCACTGATTTCTAGTCGTGTCCTCTTTTGGAAGACCAAACAAAGTAGTTTCGCTTTCACAACAATACACACAGTGCCTTTACGACATGGCAGCGGTGGCAACAACAATACTACAGCGAGAATCAAAGTTGCGCCTTCTTTCTTTTGCATGAACATTTGGGTGGCGTTATGCAAATCTTCCCACACAGTGACGTAGACATGTTGGGGGTGTGTTTAAACGAGGCGTTTTAGGAGGACGTGGACGAGTCTTAACTTTTATAAAGAATATCTCTTTGGGTTTGAGTCTTTGCAACTTCTATAATCTATGCACTAACAGCTTGTAACACTCCAAACAGAAAGGAAAACTTGAAATTGCATCATATGACCCCTTTAATATTTAAATTTCATGAAATTAAATTATGAATGTGTCTCCTCTTTAGTTGGGTTATCAGTCAATTGTTTCACATAGATAAAAAAAAAGTAAAATGGCAAATGATGAAGATCCAATGTGATTCATGTTGTAACATGCTCCATGTAGCAGTGTTTTGGGAGTTCATGGAGAGACGGTGTTCTGCATCACTTTCTGGGAGTTTTATCTTAGACAGACCGTTGAGAAGCTTTATAAAATAACATTGAAATTTGGAAGGAACTATAAAAGTGAAACCATTGACATTTGAGAAGTAGTGCAATGGAGAGGAATTGCTCAAAGAATTTATTGTGTGTAAAACGATCATGAGGGCACATGTGATATCTTTTATTTGTATGAATTTTATGTTTTCAGCTGTTTTGTTTGACTTCGAAGCACAGCCATTTATGGTGCAAAATCAAATATTAATGTATATTTCAGGAAGGGCTGAAAGGCTGTTTAATTATTCCATGTTTTAATAAGCTATGTAGATAGCGTCACCATAAATTACATTATGTAATAGTTCTCACACAATACACCCTTTACATGAGAAGCATGACAGCTGAATTATCATACATAAGATAGGGTATTCAATGAATCTTTGATCTTTGAGAATCACCTTTTTTCTCTTTCTCTTCTTTCCTTTTTCACTTTCTACTTTAACCTCTTTGCTTTGCTTTAAGTGCTTTTACGGTAAGCAGAAACGGCCCTGCCTGCCTGTTTTGAAAATTAAACAAAGGCCATGAAATATTTCTTCAGGTGTCACGAATGGCATTCATTGTGGTGTCACATGTGCACATATGAGTATTTTGCCTTTTATAAACAAGTCCCTCCAAACAAAATCATCTATTTATCCATCATGGTTTAACTGAAATCTTCTGATTTGGTTCTCTTTCTTTTGGAATCTATAATGCCTGATTAGGGTGATATATGATATGCTAACAGATATATAGGAGGCCCAAAAGGCATTTGAATGTGTAAAAATAAAAAAATTAATAACAAACATAAAAATGTCATTGTAGTAGATGCCAAGATAATGAAGTGGCATTTTAAAGAAAGATGCACAAGATGTTTTCTAGGTTTTCAGGTTGATTTTCTAGGTAGATACAGAGCAATAGATACAGAGTTCACAATAAAGACAGAACTGTAATGTGACATTTACAGTATTAGTTGTGAAACCTTAGTGGATGATGTTGATGGTTAATATGGTTCTGTATACCTGTGGTTCCTCTGCTAGGACACCTGTGTGAACTTCATATTTCATACTTCATATATCCACTAAAAACATCAAAACACCAGCTGATTAAAAGACATTGCAACAGCACTGATAAAAATGCAGTGTCTTCGTTTTTATTTTTACATGTTAAACTACTTAATTCAACATTTTGTTGTCTTAAATGCCATTAAATGGTGTGAACTAAGTATGCGATTAATAAATGTGTTTTTACAATTAGAAATCAAAAGCCTTGTTAATACACAAAACACAGTTGCGAGGTGTGGTCTGCTCATTACGCAATAGCAATGCATGACTTAGGTCTCTTAAAGTACTGAATGTCCTCACTGCTAATTCTGTCCTGTCTGTGCACGCAATTCACTTTAACTGCATGTTTCTACGAGAAAGCTAAACTATTATACTACTTCTGTGAAACACCTTCCATCCAAACCAGCTGATGCAGTTGCCTGCCCGAAGCTATTATAAGTTGTCGTATTATAAATAGAAGTATTCTGTCAGATGAGGAAGGAATCTATTGTGGCAGTTTCACTGGAGCGTCGGGGATTCCTGACAGCTCTTTATCTCTGCTTCAAAACAAAACAGCAGAACTCTAAAGAAGAACTAAAGCACCTCAGGCCTTCTGACTGGTCTGTCTGGTATTTTTACCCTCATTCCCAGCGAATTTCATCTGAATCAGGGAAGACATTTACAGGGCATTTTGAGGGAAAACACTGTTTAGATGTTTTCAATACAATTTGCTGTGTTAAGTACACGAAATCTCAGACCAAATCTGCAAGTTCCATGGAAACTTTTCACTGATAAAATGGATGTGGCATAATAACGAAATGCAACATGCTTACCTGTTCTGAGGTATTAATAGTTTTTCCACTGTTTTATGCAAATCGTTCCTTATTTAATGTAATAAAACCCAGGTCAGACTGTGGATGATGTCATCAGCTTTCAGTGTTTCCATGAATTTTGTTGCACTGCTAGATATTGCAATATTCATTTGGGTCTTTAATGTCATTCAAGATAGTATTAATCAAGATTAGCAACTTCCTGTATGAGAGCATCTGGCCCATTTCACAGAAGCCCTCTTTGGGAAAGATTAGTTTACTTAATAGAGAATGCAATGAAACAAAAAACTTTGGCATGTAACTTGTCGCAAATTGTTTGGCTTGCTGAGGTTTGTGATTCTTAAGATTTTTGCCCATCAGACAATAACCTGGCTGGAAAAAATCCACACTGAAGCAGGGATCTGAGCCATATACCAGAAAGACTTGGGGATGGAATATTTTGACTTGTGACCAGTAAGCAATGCCCAAGAGACCACCCAGAGAAGTCTAGCACCCACTAGATATCCCCCATAGATATATATATATATATATATATATATATATAATGTAGTGTGGCAAAGTGTCAACGTGAGTTGTGCATGGCCAAGCACCATCAGATTTTCTTCAAATGACGTAAAAAAAAATATATATATATCGAGTCAAATGTCAAAGATCTCTGTGTGGTACATTCTGGTAAACAAAGAGAGTCGAGTTGGTGCAGCAGCAGCAGCTGGTTGCACGCTTTTGTGTGGCTGGTACGAAACTGTTTCCTGGTTAGGAGTCTCATAGTTGTGAGAGAGGCATGGTTTTTTTCTCTCTCTCTCGTTTTACTGTAAACGTCAGTATAGCAGGAAGAAGAAAAAGGCAAAGGGTTTTAAGTACGCAATGTGTCTGTTTGTCAGAAGCACCTAATTTCTCTGTGGTGAAACAGTTTTTCCCGCACGATCAAAACTCATTTCAAATCTGACATTTTGTTCGCTAAATCCATGGGCCTGACCTCAAAGCATTTGCATTTGTGTTTTATTGCACAAATAAGCAAATATTTATTGAAGGGTTGAAAGCACATGAAATGAATAGCATTGGCAAACAACACTGGATCATTTGGTGCTGCATGTAAGCAAAACTCAGCTTTGAGCTTGAACATGCATGGGCCACTGCATGTAATAATTAATAAAGTGTGGTGTTCAGTGAAAAAGTGTTTACTAAAGAGAAGTTTAACCTCTGGTGCTCTTCGGTTATTTTTTTTTACTTGGTACGAAAAATGGTTTTGGCATTTCCTATGTGAACACGCACCAACATACGAACAAATAAATCAATAAATCATGGACATGATTCGAAACGATTAAACGGTCCTGAAAAAAAAAGTCACGCTTCTACTCCTTGTGGTCAAAAAGAGCAATGGAAACAAATGGGAAATCGGCTCGTTTGGTCCTGCGCCCAACAAAATCTTACTGAAAGCTAATTTTTGAGATATCAAACTCATATGTGACCCTGGACCACAAAACCATAATCATCATAAATCAGCTGAATAAATAAGCTTTCCATTGATGTATGGTTTGTTAGGATAGGACAATATTTGGTCGAGATACAACTATTTGAGAATATGGGATCTGAGGGTGCAAAAACAAAATCTAAATATTGAGAAAATCGCCTTTAAAGTTGTCCAAATGAAATTCTTAGCAATGCATATTACTAATCACAAAGCATTTTGTTCCAAAGTGTCGCTTTTTCAAGTACAAGCAGAATGTCGACATGTGTCCATCTTAATCTGTGTTCAGTCCTGGCATGTTTTGAACCGCTTTGACTTCAGAAGGCATTTCGCTATGCTGTAACTCACTTCTTTTTTTTCCCCATGAAAGGCACAAATATTTACTTGGAAGAAGGCGGCGGTTGATTTCTGTTAAATGGCTTGCTGCCTCCTTGCTTGGCGGAGCCCACAAGTTCGGGGCAGGGCGGAGGCAGTGATTGGTGCTGTTACTTCCTTTTTGCTTGAAAGGCACAAATATTTATTTGAAAGAAATATTTGGCTCGCTGTCTCCCTGCTTGGCGGAGCTCACAGATTCGGGGCAGTGCAGAGGCAGTGATTGGTGCCCACAGAGTGGGTTACGATACTGGCACTGGTACAGAAAACGGTACAAACCGTCCATTCATTGAGACTGTTAAGGCAAGAACGGTGCTTCAAGATCAGTCACATAAGAATGCATCAGTGATAGTACTCATGACCACACACGGCTGACTGGCTAACTCCATGTACTCATGAACAGCTCAGTACTTCTTAGTCCAACAAGCTTCCAAAAAGCATGTGACCTTTAAGGCCCGTCAAGCTAGCTTTAGCTCCCTCACTGCTTCTCGTTTCTTCAATAGCCAGAGCTCTTTAAATAGGAGCGTCGTACTCTTGTAAGAAGTCTTTCAGCTGTTGAGGCAGCTGCTCTCTTTTGCTGGAGACGTCTATATGTCCATTGACAGTCTTCCTGCAGAGATGCTGTAGGGAGGACATTGTGCAAGGAAGGGGTCTCAATAGCTCCAAGGGGATTTTCTCGCCCCCTGTGTAGATGTAGTAAGCATTCCGAGAGTTTCCAATGGCCAGAGGGCTTCTAGAAGAGGGCATGTAGTGATGGACGAGCTTCAGCACGCAGTCGAAGCGGGGCACGGACTGCATGCTCTTGGAGTCCGTCTGAAGGAAAAATGATTTGTTGTCGCACTGCACCCGCAGGTTCTTGGTGCCCGACTCGGTCTTGACGCTGAGCGTGAAGAAGTGCCGGTTGTCCGAGCTGTCTCGGACCAGAAAGGTCCCGCTGGGCTCCGAGTTCAACAAGTGATTGGCCTCTTTGCCGCTGATGGAGCCCCAGTAGAAGCCGCTCTCCTGGAGCATCCTGATGGCGTGCTGCACCATCTGGTACTGTAGCTTTGAGCTGAAGGTTTTGTAACGGTGAGACGGCAGCCGCATGTTTGCGTCAAGCAGGCTGCTGCTCATTGCGTTGTCAAACTTGCTGTGGGTGACCATGGCGCTCCGCACAAACCTTGAGCTGCCGGGAAAACCGCGCAGTGTGATTACGGTGAAACTGTGAGCCTCTTAAAGCTGGCAACAGGAGCCTATAGAGAAACAGGTTTTAGATTAGTACCACAGAAAATGTACATTTAGTAAAACGGAATTGTTTTAATTGGAGTAAATGCATATTTTAAACTATAGAGGTTTAAAGTCAGTTATCAAGCTGATGCTTTTCTACCCAACTTGTTCTAGCATAAAATTATTTGTTGGCATAACTTGTTCTTAGTCTTTTATACATAATATACAAGAGAGAGAGAGAGAGAGATAAGATGTTTATATGAGTATATAAGATAAATAAAGGCTTAATCATAAATTATCTTAAAGACAAGCTGTATAAAGCACTTTATAAGTACTCGAATTGTAATTCAATTATCAAAAGCTTCTAGGAAGATTCTGAAAGTCTCTCTTACCTTCGAGTCTCTTTTGGCAGGAGTACTTTTTGTAAAAATCCAAAGTAGTAAGTCTCTAATCTGGCTGGCTGCGTGAACTCGTGTCTTGTTCAGAGAAGTTAGTGTTCCTTCACTCCGCCGTGCTGAAGTTCTCTGTTATTTGTAGTGGCATCCCAGTCATGTTCTAGTTTAGCTCCGCCCTCACTAGGGTTCCAGTAAGGGTAGGTTGTCAGTAATACTATTCCTGGTACTACAAATGCTCTTCCCCTCCCCCTCTCTGCTCTTCCAGATCTGCCGCCTTACAGTAAACGTATTCCCTAACACAACACCTTCCTATTGTTGATGAACAGATATCATCGCCGAGCAACTGTTCTATATTACGAAGAAATCGCCCTATGTTTGCTATACTTTTATTAGTATTTTTAACAGTGAAACGAACAATAGAAGTAGTTCAAAGTACACATTTTGAGCTAATGGACTTCAAGTAAAACCTGTAGGCACACAGACGTTAAAATCAGATTTAGAATGAGCTTTATTTGCCAAGTGTGCACAAACACACAAGAAATTTGTTGTGGTTTCCAGGAACTCTGGGAACTTGCATAATATATTGACGTAAAAATTAAATAAGTAAAACTAAAAACAATAACAAGCAAGAATCAGAAGACTTGTACAGATACTTTATATGGCTTATACAACAGTATGCGTTTACACAATCTGCATCTGTACATAATATGTATCTAAAAGGGTGCAAAATACATTTTCAAAAATACAATAAGCATATATAACTTTAATGAAAAAAGAAATCCATTGTATTTTTCATGAAAATGTATTTGAACAGTTCCCAAAAAATGCCAATGGCCTATAAATATAAGTACTCACTCCCAAATAAATGATAAAATAAGTCATCTTGACTAATCTGTTTTCACAAAGTCAATAGTCGAGGGAAAACATATGGAATGGCATGTGAGGAGTGAAGGTCATTTAACTGAAAATGCTGACTCTATTTGTCTTCAGGCAGAAATGTATGCTAAAATTACCATCAAAATACGGGTAGTCTGACTGGCTGAGAAAAAGGAACAGAAACGATCATCGTGGGGCTTGTTAGAAACTGGACAAAATATGATTGTGTCGTAGGAGTGATACTGACTGCTGGTCAGACTGCTGGCCATTCCACCACTCATGGCAAACTTGCCTGGACTTTCCCGCAGCTTTCTCAAGCAGACAGTTTTGCATGAAAAGGAAAGAAAAAATGATTTCACAGTTCTTATTTTAACAGAAACACATTGTCGCTATCAGCAGTATCATCTTCATAAGACGTTTTCCTGGTTTCAGTTTTCCTGATAACCCACAAATGCCTTCAACAAACTATCTGTTTTGCTTGGCTGCGTCCTCTGTTGACACATGAGAATGGCAGCTCAATACAGAACAAGTGACTAACTTGGGAATAATATGTTAGTAATGTCAGTGCACTTGCCAGATAGCATTTGCTCAGAGCAAACATGTAATGTTGATAATTGTTAACCCAGGAAGAGTTTTTATTATATTTGTATTATATTTAAACAAGGCCTTAGAGGGCTGAACTTGAGCTGCCCCTTTAATCTTGTAAAAGCACAGTTGCAGAATAAAGGAGATACAGTATATAGGGCAGGAAGGATAAGAGTTGAATATGACACATTTGCTGGATTTGTGTGAAACGGTTCGGCCATTACTAGGAATTTCACATTAAGGAAGAAATGTCCTCTTTCTGATTCATTACTCTCTGGAAATCTTCTGTATTTTCTGTTCTGCTTCCAGGTTTCCCCCTCTGCAATTTCATAAGAAAAGGGAGGTTATTGCTGTGCAATTTGTAAACTATCCATAGAATGTTTCTACAAAAAGCACAATGCTGCACTCCTGAACAATGTTTCAACCGAAGCTTCAACGGTTACCTCAGTGTAAAACAATCATGCTGCAGTCATTGGTTTACTTCCTTCTGGAATATTGCAGTTGTTCACTCCTCTTCCCATCTTTGTGTACTCTGTAATCACATTTTGGGAAGCTGTTTCCATATTCAAAGATAAACAAAGTGAATATACACATAAAAAATATAGTGATTTATTGATTTATTTTTGGCATTTAAGGAAACAGTATGTGAAATTATGGCATATGTACTGTAATATGGATCAAATAAAGTCACTAATTTGCTTGTTTTAGAAGTGTAGCCTGCTCCCTGCAGGCAAATAAGAATTCCCAGCAGTGACTGCTCTCTTAAGCATATAGTGCACATTGGCAACATTGTTCAGTTTTATCAGTGGTTTAGCCTTATGATCAAGATTAGTCAAATCTAATACAAGGGAGCTTGAAATGCATTTTAACTTCTGTCTTGATAAGATCGTAGTGACGTTTCCTGTATACCATCTGTGTTTCATCATGATTCATATCGGGGGGGAAACCTTTTTCTATGGTGTGGTGGTGAGGATGTGAGCTTCTTATTAAAAGAAAAGCGCCTGGTTCGTTTAAGCCATGTGATTTCTGATGATGCTTCAGACATACAGTATAGTGGATGTAAAAGAACACTGTGGCAAAAGCTCACGGCACAACGGCAGACACCTGGGCTGGGAAAGAAAACACACCTACACAAGAGCTCCAGTAATTGTGTGATGAGTCCACACTATTTGTTAACCAACACACAGTTATTATTTGGACATGATAATGGTTGTCTTTACTGTAGGGAAGTACAGTATGTAGAGAACGCTTATAATTTTCCTCATCTCCTTTCGGGAAAAGAGAAAGAGGGTTTCCTTTGGAAAGGAACGTTTTAAATTTGTTTTATCAAATTATTTTAAAGTCTAGTATAGAGGGGAAAAAAAAGAAAATATCATCAATATTAATGTATGCTCAATAGTGTCAACAGTGGCATTTCTGTCAAGTTGAAATAATCCTTTCTGTCAACCCAGACATTACTGTACATAAACCATAAACATCGAAGAGGACATGTCAAATCACAAGATGATCTATTATCTATCTCTCTCTCTCTCTCTCTCTCTCTCTCTATATATATATATATATATATATATATATATATATATATATATATTTCAATCATGACAACTCTCTGAATATTTTAGCTTGGTGATGAATATGACAATGTTAATGTATTTGGTCTTGGCGGAATAGATCTGCTACGTTGATTCTGCTGTTGGCTATTTCTGTAGTTGTAGATTATTGCTGCTGCTGCAAGCAAGTACAGGAACATGTTACTGCCAGTGCATATGGCATACGGTGCCGTGAGTATTTAAGACATGCTGCTGCTGCACAAATAGCATATAAAATAACTCCGTAGCAGATCTATACAGGTGGAGCTGGGGAAGGTGGAGGGTTTCAGAGAAACTCTGAAAGCGCGCTGCAGGAAACTCTAGTGAATACTAGCCAGCCATATAAATGCGCAGTATGCTCATTGGCTGCATATGCAGCACGAACCAATCAGCTTGTGCCAAGTCGTTTAACTCTCTGAATATCATCAGTTACATTAACAACCTGTCAGCCTGCGCCATCTAGAGTTTCGTGACTGTATATATAAACACATTGTATACACATGATATATAAATAAACATTAAATATTATATATACAATATAAAATATAAAAAATTACAACATTAAAAGGATTGTGTGTATAGGAATGGCTTTAACCCATTTTAATGTAATGACTGTGTGTGTGTGTGTGTGGTCCTGTTATTCCCTACATTATGGGGCTCAAATGTCCCCACAAGGATAGTAATACCAGTAAATTTCGAACTTGTGGGGACATTTTTTGGTCCCCATGAGGAAAACAGCTTATAAATCATACAGAATGAAGTTTTTTTTTATAAAATAGCAGAAAGTTTTGGGTGAGGTTAGGGTTAGGGCTAGGGTAAGGGGACCCTATAATAAACAATTATACAGCCTCAGTTTGCTATATAGTTAGCTTAGCAACATGCAAATGGCAAACAGTCGATTGTGAGACTTAGGGAGCATTTGAATGACACAGAGAGTAGACACATGGCAGTTCACTAGGTTTACGGCAGACCCTGGTGGTCTGAAACTCTCTGCTGCTTCTCAGAGGAGCGACTGTTCCCTGCCTGGACTCTCTCTCTATCTCTGATCCGCTTCTCATTCCATGGTTTCTGGCTGCTGTCTTCACTTCCTCCATGCCTCTTTTTTCAGCCCAGTGAGAACAGTAGAGCAGTGTTCAACAAGAAGACATTTGACAGTTACCCATTCAGCCTGTGCTCACGGGGAACAGATTCCCCTGCCTCTCTGTGCACCTTTAGTACAAGCACAGCTCCTTTATTCTTATGAATATCTTTTGACCCCGAATACCAGAGAGCTGAAGCAGGCTGAGGCCTGTTATCTCATGACACTTCCTTTTTGATCCCTTCGTTTGAAAGAGAGTTCCGGCCAACAGGAAGCACGCTAAGTCTCTCAGTCACAAGGGCCCTAGAGAAAGACAGAACAATCTGTTCCAACAATACCAACTCAAAACAATCTGTTCGGCCTGTTGGTGACCTTTGCTGGAGTTGAGAGAAAAGGTAGTTGTTCAGTTTAAAGTCTTAAAGGAATATTTCAGTTTTTTAACAATATTAATGTAACAGTAGATACAGCAATGAGTAAGATTTGGTAGGTTGTTGTTCCAAAAATGACACAATATAAGATTTGAACTTTGACTGGTTTAGGCTTTGCAGACTGCTGTGGTAGAACTGTAGAACATTAAAATGTTTCTTTAGAATCTATCTATGTGTTTATGTGTTTACATATTATATACATATACAGACAGATATATTTGTAAGATACCAAAAAATGGTAAAAGTTTTACATGATGCAACCACAATAATTTGTAAAGCTCTACAACTTTACAAAGGACAAAATAATCTAATGTGAACGCATAAACAAAAATGCAAGCTATATTTTACTGCCAGTAATGATCTCAACTGAACTGAAGCATTCACTGTAAAATAATGCTGCTGCAATTAGTTATTGCAACTTCAAAGTTTAGTTAACTTTAGTTAAAGGGGTCATATGGTGCGATTTCAAGTTTTCCTTTCTCTTTGGAGTGTTACAAGCTCTTGGTGCATAAAGAAGATCTGTAAAGTTGCAAAGACTAAAGTCTCAGAGATATTCTTTATAAAAGTTAAG